CCACCTCACCCTATTCCATACAACTTTGACAACTTGCGTTCGAAAAGATTTTTAGCTCTACCAAGAAAATGCCAATTGAAAAATGTCCAGTAAGAACTCCTACGATTGCGGCAAGATGAACTTTACTAAGGGTAATTAGTTCAGTATATCTCCTGTGTTTTACTATAGGCCAAAAAGATGTCGCAGTCCCATAGAAGCTGGTCGCCGACCAACGCTTGCTAGAATGCAAGATGACAACGGAGATCCAACTCGTTCCCACTTTGAAATGACCGGAAGCTTATTAGCAGTCTTTGCTGTCTGAAAAACACTACAGTGATCCGGTAGCCTGAAGCTAAGTTTGACGGAGAGCTCCATACAGAAAACTTACACTCCATATCCCTCGTCGGTATGTGAGCAGAGAGTTGTTGTTGGCCGTTTTCGCCTTTTTCGCATTGTGACATAGGAATGTCAGATTAATACTATGTAATTGGTTGAAATTGGTCTAGTAGTTTCGAAGGAGTAAAAAAAACTTGTGTTCTAAGAAATTTAAGTTGATTTAACATTAGTGGTTAAGGAGATATGTACATTAAACCTATTAGAGGGCGGGCCACACCGACTTTTAAATAATTTTATAAGCCGCAGATGTCCCTCTCTAATGCAAATCATTCTACCAAATAACAGTCTTGTCTCTTGTTGTGGAGCTAGTTATAACACTTTATACGTTTTCGATTAATGGCGCTTTGTGGGAGTGGCAATGGTCCGGTTTCGCCCATCTGCACTGCCAACCTTCAAACCATTTTTTACTCAAGTAACAGCTTGCACAGTCGGACAGATCGACAGTTATCAACAATAGATTATATTGTATATAACATATAGCAATCTCGATTAGTTTTAGGTGTTACAAGTAACCGCTAGGTGAACATACTTTTATACCCATCTTACAGGACTATAAAAATATTTATACACACTTCAGGGTAAGAAAATGCCTGGATTTTTCAGTTAAGTACTACCCTAATGTTCAAACTATGCCGTATGTAAACAGCGCCGTTGGCTCTTTGCTAGGCCTACGTACTCGTACAATTGTGGAAATTTTTTCCGTTTTTCACATTTACAACTTTTTTGTTCGCTTTCGATGCTAGCATTGCGCTGTGGTAAGTATACGTGAATTACGTAAAAATGAATGTAAACATTTGTGCTGCGGCTGCTACCCGTATAATGAAATTCTTAACTTGTATGCAGCGCAACGTCAATGGGGATAGTTTTAATAAAATTTCGCAATCTGTTGAAGATTCTAAATGGTAAGAGGGTGAAAATTGGCTCAATAAACACACAATAAACTGTTTGGAGAAGATAAACGTAATGGATATGATGAGCGATTTAACGATTTGCATCGCCGCAAATTCACATATATGATGTTATGTTATGTTGATTGAGTGAATATTTCTAATAAAAAAAGTGACTGAAGGATATTAAAAATTTTTCAAATCAAACAATATGGAAGGGTTGGGTTCGCGTGTAACCGAACATACTCTTGCAACTTGCATGGAACAAAGGCGGAGGAACAGCTTCAGGTTTTGGCAAAACTTTATATCAAACTAAAGAAAGTATCGCCATAATGGAAAGACGACACATTGCATAGCTTAGAAAGAGGTTCTTTCTGAATTTCATTAAGATTTTTTACATATTGACCGATAGATACGGTATAAAGTGAACCGGAGGTTTAAAAATTATTATATTAGGTATATGGGGGCTAAGAGAAGTGTTGATCTGCTGTTACCCATTTTTAGCATAAGTTAAGTGCGATTTCGACAATTTTTGGACGTAAGATGAAATACCTTGAGGGCATCATTTGTTCTGATAACTTAATTATTGTTTGATTTGTGTACTGTAAAGTGAAAGAATCAGACGGAATTTAAAAGTTTTTTATATGAGAATTAGGCGTGGCTGTTCTCCGGTTTCGTCTACTTTTACAGTGTCTAATAGGAATGTTCGGGTAACTTAAAGGTGGGCGATCCAATTTGCACACCAAATCTTAAAAAGCATTTCTCTACCATCCTGGTTTTGAAATTTAATGCTTGTTAAGTGAGTTATAGTACTTTCAGTAGTTTTCAACATAAATGTTATATGGGGAGTGGGCGTGGTTATTATCCGATTTTACCCATTTTCACTGAGTTTAATGAGGTGATAAAATTACTTCCTCTCAGCGAGTTAAGTTGACATATCTTAATCGGTGTCCCTGGCTGCTACGTTCTCCTGTACCAAATTACAATTTTGCATCTTAATTTGCGGCTTAGTCATGGCTCTTTAAAAGTTTTCGTTTAATGGCGTTTTGTGGTGGGGACAAGATCCGATTCCGCACATCTGAAATACCAACCTCGTCTTAGTGCCAAGGAATATGTGTACCAAGTTTCACCAAGACATCTCAATTTTTACATAAGTTATCGCTTGCACAGACAGACGGACGGACAGACCGACGGAGGACTATCCGGATTTCAACTCGTCTCGCCATCCAGATCATTTCTATATGCATAATCCTATTTCTATCTCGGTTAGTTTTAGTAATACAAACAACCGTTAGGTGAACAAATCTATTACACCATGTTGAAAGAGTATAAAAATAGTTTCAATATTAATTATTTTCAATATTTAAGACCAAAAAGTGCTTCTAAAAGCTATAGTTAATCTAAAAATATATCTATATAGCAAGGTCTGGAACAATTTGATAATAAGTAATTTATTTCTGATGCGAGTTGCGCTTATCAAAGGAATTATTTCATGTAAGGTATATTTGGATATCACCATTGTCCTACAATTTACAAAAAATATCCATAAAATTATTTCTTTAAAAATAGTAGCTAAGTTTAGCATTACACTTTAGCGTATTAGCAACATTTCGAGGCTTCATGCGATAACGATACGAATTAAGATATAAAATAGCGGTACTTATTAATTTGGGCTGCTTTCTGTTTTATACTTTTCCAAAATTAAGTATTCTGCTTTGTTTTGCATTGCATTTCATATTTAAATTCAAACGAAGTGATTCAGTTTTAAAATCGTATGTAGTTGTTCCAGTAATCGAATCATTTTGATGTGATATCGATTATGTTTTTATTTTGAAACCCGAATTCACATGTTTAAATGTAATTTGAAAATGAAAAATTTCTAACGTGTAGTTTCTTCAGTGCATACATACCCACAAGGGCGTTTTCCAACCAGAGCTCTACTTTAACTTTTGCTTCAGAAGACTAGACCACATTAGTATGTTTCAAGCAGAAATGATTGCAAATAAGGTACCAGTAGATGTACTGTTTTGAAGTGCTGCTTCATTAATAGGAGTGTGCATTCAATCCGAAGGAGAGCGGCAATGCCGGCCGTGAGCTCGCTGACAGTGTGTTCAAGGTAATGCAAGAAGTGTCTGACCTCACTACCAATAGCATCAAGTTACTTCGTTATCATTTTGATTTGGGTGCCTGCGAAAGGACACCCTTACCCCAATGTCAGACAGCACTGGATCTGTGAACAGTGAGCTCAGTAAGTATTGGTTAGCGACAGCGAGATCTTTGTGGTCCAAAAAGGAACCAAAAATATTTTATGAATTACTTACTTTTAGCAACGTTCATCTTACCGCAATGAGAAGAGTTCTAACTGGACACTGTCTTATGGGTACTTACGGGGTCAAAGGAAAGATTTTTATTTGTTTTTTTCCATTGTCCAACATTTGCTAAATAAAGTTGAATCAACTCGATAGTCATATTTTCTTAGAACCAGGCGAATTGGCTAAAGTCGGTATTTTAATAATAACGAACTGACGTTTCTAGCTGTCCGAGGATCATTAATGACTTTACGATCATCAATATGATTTATTTAATCACTTAACCTAACGAGTGAAGTGTGATTAATGATTAAAACTTTTCAATTTGAACATATATGGTAGTTATGTAGAATTTAGCTACTCCTTATCAACGTTATACAAATGTGAAAGATAACACGATTTTGGAACACTTTAAATTGAAAATTAAAAGCTTGTTTGTGATGAGTATTTGTGTTATCTTTTTACCTAAAACTAAAAATTGGATTGAGAAATAATGGACACCCTAGTGTTCAATCATTACTTTATATAATATGGGTTTATTGTTGCCTTCTTGCCCCGTAGCCAATTATTTATTAGTTAAATACTGAACTTACGGTGTAGCGGAATGAGCGTTATTTTGTTGGAAAAAATCAAATACTAATTTTGAATGGGAAAGTAAAAAAAAAATTCAAAGTATTTGTAAATTGGTTTTACACATTTTGACCTCCTTTCTGGCAATTTGTGGTACCATGCAAATAAAAATGTTCGTCTTTTGAAGCAGACCAATCCGACACCCAATTTTCGACTTCTGCGTAGGAATCGAAGTGCTGCTCTGCCAATGCGTGTCCCATCGACGAAAACAAATGGTAATCGGGGACCATGTCTGAAGAATATGCGAGTGGCGGTAGCAGCTCCCAGCCAAGTACTTTTATTGTATCCTGAACCAATTTTTTTTTGTGTGCAGAAGCATTTTCGTGTATTAAAATTATTTGCAGTCGATGTCGATGGTTTTCCCGGATTAACCCATTTTTTTCCGTTTGGGATTCTTAAAATAAATCCATTTTTCATCGCCAGCGACAATTCGATGCAAAACCGATTTTCTTTGAAGCGAAATTTCACAAGTGTTTTTTCAGTTTTTCATTTGTCTTTCATTCAATTCATGTGGCTGCCATTTTCCACACTTTTGGATCTTTCCCATAGCTTTCAAACGGTCAAAAATTGTTTGTTGTGCAACTTTTAATACGGCTGCAATTTGCTCATGACTCAAAGTATCATCTTTATCCAATATTGCTTGCAGTTCAGCATATAAAAAGTAACACTTCTAAGATTACTTGGACTTAAGGTTTACTTAATTTTAGAATCTAATTGAAAAGTAGTTTTGACAAAATATACATCTTATGATCTTATAAATTCTTCAAACACTACTTCTATGCTTTTATTTTCATTGTAGGTGTTGCTCATATAACATCGGAGCTGACTGCAGACTCAAACATTATAGATGTCAATCAGGTAAATAAATATATATTGTACTTAATTGGTGGAGACAATTATAGTTCTTTAAACGTTCTTTCTTTTTGGTTTCTTCAAATACACATTTCCGACTAATAACACAATTTATCGCTCATTTGCTGATCAGCTTTTTTGTGAGTGAAGCGCGTTTCGTATGTCAAGCAATCATTTTTACGAAATATCAGCGAAATAAACACTTACATGAAATTTGAATAGCTTGCCTTTCAAAAATAAAAGGCAGAATCTTGTTATGTAACCATATTTGTGTTACTGTAAATCAATTTTAAGAGCGTTTCTAAAGCAGGCGTTCTTTTCTTATATAACCTTCAGCCAGTATTTGTGATTTATGTGCTTATGGCCTACACATAACTATACACCACCAACTGAAATTCGTAGATTCTTCTAGAACAACCAGATGCCACTCCAGCCGAATAGCTGAAAAAACGAATTGAAGGTCGTAAAAACTGTACGATGCAAAAAATAAACAAAATTCTGACAAATTTGGCATGTTAGCTTTGTTTCTTTATTTTTCCAGCGGAAAGATGCGAGGAATTGAAGAGCACGAAAATATTGTTTGATAATAATTCTCTGGCATATGGAAAGAAATTTATCGGAGTGTTTGTTAAAGCTAATAAAACGAATTATTTGGCAGCCTAAAAAATGCATGTGTTTTCTATGAGGGGAAGCCATAAAATCCATATGTGTTGTAGTTAGACCAAACATGGAATAAATGGTGTTTTGATATTTTGAAAAAAGGATAAAAAGGAATTTCGCGCGTTAATTTAATGATAACGAAACCTAAAGGCCGCTGTCACCAAAAAAAAATTATTGTTATCTGAGTTCTGTTTGTGTCTTAAGTAATTGCACGAATTGAGTTTTAATAAATTTTCTACACCGGTAATTTCGGGATCTGCCCCCAGCAGCTTTTTCCTGTCCTCAGATTTTAAGAGAATGCTCGGTGAGAAGATATTTAGCAACTATGATAAGCTTAGATGAGCCTGAGGTCTATTTTGAAACAAAAATGGTATTGAAAATTCGGAAGATCGTAAAACTGAGTATCTAGCTCAACTATAACTATAAAATCGTTTTTTTATATGAACTTGAAAAACGTTAACTTCGACTGCACCGAAATTATTACTTCCTTCACAAATACAAAAGATTCCTTACAAGAACTTGATTCCGATCGTTTAGTTTGTATAGCAGCTATATGCTGTAGTGATTCCATCTGAAAAACTTCTTCAGATATTGAATTATTGCGTGACAGTAGTGTGATTTAATCTTCAATACCAACCTCCCTTGGGTGCCAAGAAACATGTTTACCAAGTTTCATAAATATACCTCAATTTTTACTCAAGTTACAGCTTGCACAGACGGACGGACGGACAGACAGTCACTCGGAATTCAACTCTTCTCGTCATCCTGATCATATATACATAACTCGGTATCTATCTCGATTAGTTTTAGGTGTTACAACCATCCGTTAGGTGAACAAAACTTTTATACTCTGTAGCAACATGTTGCAAGAGTATAGCTAGATTAACTCCCAACAAGAGAGTAGAATGTCCAATTCATTATAAAATTTAAATTCAAAGTTTCCGTAAAATCTAAAATAAAAAGAAATCATAAGCTTCCCAGCATGCTTGCACCTGCGAAACTTCTTCTCACTTCACCCTATTGACTCCTCTTGATTTTCATTATAACCTTGAAAATATGTAAAACATGATAGCTTGCTATTGAATCTCTTGTACGAATGTGTATTGAATGAAGGCCGAATTTCATTTCCGGATTTCATTAATGCCCCACTCAATGTTCATGTCGTAAAGATGTGTGGGAAAGGTACAAAAATACCTCTAATACATGCCTACACACATCTCCGTACACATTATTTGAAATCAAAGCAAATAAAGGTAATTCAATAAAGCTTCAAGAGCTCCTACTGAATTGTTGCTTGTGACAGAAATTGTACATTTCATTGGAAAGAAAATCAAATTGACTCCGATCGGTACACATACAAATTGGGTTTATATGTGGGAGAATAATGGCATTATATAGTGATTGGTACACACAACAGTCAAATGAATTGGTTTAGTTTGCATATTAAAAACTCATAATTTGTCAAACATGTAATATGAAGTAGACTAAAAAGTTTGCATCTTAAAAAAACACATTTTATTGGGAAAATTCGAGTTGCCGTTGAGAACGATGTATCGATTATAGAGATCGTCCTACTTTCGGACACCCCTCTAAAAAACGTGAGATGATTTGTAAAACAATGAATCGATTGACTGTGACCTCTAGAGTTATCCACTTATCATAGAACTAATTGTGAAGGTTTTTTTTAATTTTTTCATCCTTAACAGCCTCTCTGACAGAGATCTTAGATAATACAGAGAAAGTCACTGTTACTTGTTTTCCTTCTTTTAAATACATATGTATATTTTTCGATAATACAACTACTTTGAATTTTCATTTGCTGACAAAAAATAGAAATTGATATTAAGTCAATTATCAACAAAGGTCTATTTTTGCTTTTCATGAGAAATAAACTCAATACCGCAATAGTAATACGAGCAAGTGCCTTTTGTATGCCCATGATATAGCACATTTGAACTAAAGAAGTCTTTATTATCCGAATCAGATTTTATGAAAATAAAGTGCAAGTCATACATAGTACATGTGTATTCTGTTTTGTATTCGAATAATATAATATATACAAGTCTATAAAAGATTTGTTCAAGCTTGAATGCCAAATTTATTGCAATTCTCTACGGTATTTATTTTCACCAGTCTTTTTCTATGGTATTTTACCTCTTCTTTTTATCTCTTCCTTTTTAGTCGTTTATTTGGCCGCTGGCTCGACCGGCCACAGATGAAGAGCCACTCATCGTCGAGTTGCGCACACAAACCACAAAGACGTTGCTACGCACCGGACTCAGTCATGCCTCTGGCGGCTTGATGGGTGGCGGTGGGAATAGTAGCAGCGGCGGCAGCATGAGTGGCATCATCAGCAGTAGCAGCAAATGTGTTGGCCAATATATTGTGTTGATGCAAGGTAAGAGTGAACGAAATACTATTTTTGTTTATTTATTAAAAACGAATTAAATTAAATGCATTAATATAATTATATGCGTACACGGGTATTGATTGAATCAAGAATTATATGTAATTAAATTGCATAATCATTAATATTAGGCAGTAAGCAATGATTTGCGTGAACAACCGCTTTTGCTAGCAGGTCTTTAACACAACTTAGCGTGTTCATTTAGGAGGATCGTTTTCTAGAATATAAGACAAATCGAACCACAAATACGAATTTTCTATTGGCTTAATCGCCACCTATCGGGTAATACAGAATCCTCTAACAACAAAACGAAAGATTCATTTCGACTTTATTTATGTAGCACCATAAGTGTAGTTTAAACATTTTTTTATAGTATAAAAGGGTTTAGAAGGATTTGTATTGGAGTTTGTATGGAAGCTATTCATATATAGATCTAATTGATGAACAATTTGTTTGGGCGATACCTTGGATTATAATCTATCCCAAAGTTCTTGATAGATAAGCAACTTCTTAGTGAGAAAAGTACGTATCTCAAAAATGAGAGAATAGTTCCCGTATATACAGACGCGTTTATTGGGCCTTAAAAGTTTCCTTTTGGGTGTTACACACTTCGCGGCAAACTTAAGAGTAAGAGTATATTCTCTGTTCAGGGTATAAAAATATACTGTTATGAAAGATAGGTTTGACGAGTGTGACCAAGATATCTCAAGAAGTTTAAACAAATTGCTAAATTTTAGTGTTATAACATAAATAATAGTACTGATGTAACAGTTTTAGGATAGTTTACTTATAGTTTAATAATATAATAATAGCATAAAGAAAATATGCCGCAAGTCAAGCAATTGAAATGTGAATAGTATTTATGTTCTCCATATTGTAACAACTTTGTAAATCTTGAAGTCCGACCAGCAATTTCAATTGTCCAGGAGCTAAAAATTGCACAAACAAGAAAAAACGTTAACTTCGGTCGCACCGAAGCTAAAATACCTTTTACAAATACAAAAGATTCCTTACAAGAGCTTGATTCCAATAGTTCAGTTTGTATGGCAACTACATATTGTACTTTAGGGGTCCAATATCGGCGGTTCAGATAAACGAGCTGCTTCTTGAGGAGAAAAGAACGTGCACAAAGTTTCAGGTCTATATCTCAAAATCTAAAGAACTACACGACATGGCTAAACCGACTCAGCTGGTCACGCTGATCATTTAGATATATATTTTATGGGGTCTATGACGTTTCCTTCTGGGAGTTTCAAACATCGTGGCAAACTTAATATACCCTGTTCAGGGTATAAAAACCTTTTCAAACCATTTAAATTCAGCTGACAACAGCAAGGAGCTTGATGTACATAATTTAATGCAAAAAATTGTCATGGACTTAAATTTCATCTGTTGGTGAATCGCAATAAAATAAACCAGCAAAATTAGTTATTTGGACCTCTGCCTTCAACATTTGGACCGTATGAAAGCAGCAAATGCTCATAAGCGGCCAGCTTTGCCTAATAGGAGATGAATTGTGTTCGATCAGAACAGCAGGCTATACACATCGATTGTGACTCTCCTGAAGCTCAGAGAGTTTAGTATGGAAGTTCCTATGCATCCACTCTATAATCCGCGCGCCTATCTCAAAAGATTTTACTTTTTTTATACTTGTATATTATTATTATAATCATCAACATGTGAACTGAGTAGATTTAGCCATGTCCGTCGGTTGTTCTGTCTGTATATACGCGAACTAGTCGTTAAATTTTTTAGCTATCGCTCTGAAGTTTTGTACGTATTTTTTTCTCGCCAAGAAACGGCTCATTTGTCGGAACTGCGGGTATCGGACCACAATAGCATATGGTTACCATACAAGCTGAACGATCGGAATCTAGTTCTTGTATGAAAAAACTTTTTAGTTGTGAAGGGTATTCTATCTGCGGAGCAACTGTTTTAGAACTTAAAGCAGTTTAAAATATAACTTCGAATTTTTTTTCCAACAGAAATGATTCTTTGGTGTGTATAGTTCGGTTTAAATTCATAATATATTTATATGTTTTATACAAAGGTGCTATTATAGTATTTTCAAAGGGGTGTAAAGCTGTGAAATAACACCTTCTAATTAGGCAACGCAAATTACCCTGCACTTGGAATATATTTACATTACAGACGAATATATAGCACGTGCATACACGCGCACAAATGTAACAGCGCCACTCGGAGCCTTGATGCGACCTATGTACTGAATTTAAGGCTACCAGCAGTTAGTAACAAGGTCAATGAAAATACAACAGTAACAGCAACACCAATAGTTCTATCAAGATATGCAACAACAACTGGTTTTGTTGTTGGTTATTTCTGCAAATGACTTGTTGTTCTTGTTTTGCTGTTTAAAAATACCTTTGCTCTGCGTTTGAGCGCGTTTATTTGCCATTGCGGCAACGAATTTGAGTACGTCCTTGTTACGCACACTTACACAAAATAAACATATATGTACTTACATATGTAGGTCAAGAGCAAAGTGCTATGCAACTGAAGCAAACGGTTCTGAGTGGGCGAGCAGGTCGGGCCTGCAAATTATTAATACATTATGATTAATGACGAGGATGATAATTATGATTGTAATGTCTCTGATAATCATGAAACTTCATTGCAAATGCAGCAGAAAGCGTTTATTCGGTCAAAGCGGAATTGGAATAATTTAAAATGAAAGGCACGCAAAATAAAAATAATATAGTATATTTCGATTTTACTCCACAAGGGTTTGCGATCAATAAATTGGCTTGGGGATACACGCACAGAATAATTAATTATATAATTAACTTCTGCGGGTTGCACTTTGCTTTAGCTCCACATTCTCGCAAATTTTAACTCTTATACTCTCGCCACATGGCGCAACTGAGAGTATAACTAAGAGATTTGTTCAACTAACGGTTGTTTGTTTATCAGATAGATATAGAGTTAACATATGTTTATACAAGGTGCGTTCCAATGTAAATAGTAAAAAAATAAAAAAGTAAACTCTAGTGGCGATATCTATATGTCGACTAGTGCGTTAGAATCTGCTATCCTTTATCGACTTCCAGTAAAAATTGCATGCCATTTCATCTATTGGAAGTGAAGTTATTGCGTTTTAAGTGTCAGTAAGTTTTTGTCATCGGTGCAAAAATGAGCTTCGAACCAACATTAAAGAGCCAACATTAAATTTTGTTTTCAAATTGGTAAAACTTTTACCGAAACGTTTCAATTAATGAAACAAGTTTATGGCGATGATTGCCTATCCCTTAGTAGAGTGAACGAGTGGATTCAACGTTTTCAAAGTGGTCGTTAGGACATAAATGAGAAATGAGCCGAAACTCAAAAAACCTCGCCTAGAGAAGTCAAAAGTGAAGACAATGTTAATTTTTTTATGATTCCAAGAGTATTGTCCACAAAGAATTTTTTCCACCCGGCCAAAACGTTAATGCGGTATTCTACCTTGGAGTTTTGAAGCGTTTGGTGCGCCGTATTCAACGTGTTCGGCCCGAATATCGCGAAGATGGAAGTTGGCGTTTGTTGCACGATAATGCGGGTCTCATCGATCGACGCTTGTGGCCGATTATTTGACCAAAAATCACATTTTAACAATCAACCACTCCCCTATTCACCTGATATGACACCGTGCGACTTCTACCTTTTCGGAAAAATGCATTTGCTGATAAAAGGAAAGCATTATGCAGACGTGGAGGCCATTCAAAAGGCTTGCAACGGCATACTGGCGGCCATACCGGGCAACACTCGTTCGACATGCTTTTGGACCGTGCAAAAAGCTGTATTAAAGCAGAAGCAGACTATTCTGAATAAAATTAATTGATTTTACGATAAAACCATTTGTTCTGTCTTTTTTTTTTTAAAGTCCTGTTTACTTTGGAACGCACCTTGTATATATAAACGATCAGGATAACAAGACAAGTTGAATTCCGAGTGACTATCTTTCCGTCCGTCTGTCCGTGCAAGCGAACTAGTGCTTTCAAGTTTTACCATCTCTCTAACAAAACTGGTCGAAATAATTTTTTTTACACCATCAGGAATAAAATATGTGGACCTCAGTGCAATGTTTGAATTTACATTGAAAAAATCAGTGAATTTTTGAGACATATTTATGAAATTCAGAGAGAACCTCCCTACTTGCCAAAAAGGGGTAAAATCGGGAAAATACTTCCCTTAGCCACCATATACCTAATATAAAAATTTTGGAACTTCTGGTTGACTTTATACCGCATATATATCCCAATGTGGGGGTTATTTTAATGAAATTCAGAGATAGCCGTTCTATAATAATTTTCGGTTGTTGTAACAACAATGGTTATAATAGGGTCCATTCTTCGACTTTCCAGTTGACTTTAAATAGTTTATTTAGGTCAATAGGAGCGAAAAATTATTGAGATTAAGTATTTTTTTAACCAGAAGCAGAATAAACCCAAACCGCGAATACAAAGGTATACGCGTCTGCTTTACTTTTCCCTCATTTACCCAAAATTTTGAATTGGGTGCCTTTGGTGAGCTTATATCTCATATATCTCAAAAAAATTAAGTAAGAATATCTACTAATCCGCTCTACGTCATTCGCTAACAAAAATTATTGATATCGGTATGTAACTTCCCCCAGCACTAATATGATGATATAGATTTATGTTAGTTAGATTGATCTTGATATTATACAAATATTTCCGACTAAGTGATGATGTGACCTACAGCTTAAGTTTTATATCAAATTTTATTGCGATTCATTAATAATTTCGTTCGATATGAATATTACATAGTATAATACGTTTGTTCATCTAACTGTTGCAATTACAAATTGAGATATCTTAATGAAACTTTTTGCACTCCACATGAAACGGTTCTGTTAAAAACTACTAAAACTGCAATTAATCAATGACGAAATGCGTCAGAGACATTACATTTCATATCCGTGATGACAGAAAAGGGCTTTATAGGAGCAGAAAATTTATAAGAAAGAATTCACA